AAATGATAATTATTTTATCATGAAATTTTTGCTTTTAATTATTTATTTAAATTTAAATTTTTGCCGTTATATGGGCGTAAATTACAATTTATAAAAAAATGGGGTTAAACCGGTTCAGAAAAATTATTAAGGTTTGGGTCGCTCATTTAATAGATTTTGTATAGGGTCGGTTATGGTTTAGAAAGTTATAAAGGTTTTTCCAGGTATAACGTATCGGGTCGAGTTACTATGGATTCATGTTATGTGACGTGAAACACAGAAAAACGAATATTAATGAGACATTTACAATGTAATAAATTAAAAATTTCAGATTATTTTTCGGAATGTTCCAAAAGTTTTCTGTTGCGTTTCCGTTCCGAAATATACAAAGCTTTATACCAAAAATTATCAAATTTTTAAGACTCAAGGGTATGGAAATTGTGGTATAACGTTTTTAAGAATATCTAATCGAGTCGATATTTTTTAAAACCCGTTCCTATATTTTTTATTGTTTTAGCTATTTTATGTTTGTATTTTCTTATTATATAAATAATTTCATAAATAATAAATTAATGAAAGGAACTAAAATACAATTTATTTTTTGAAAATACAATTTATTTTTTGTGAAGTTTAAAAACGTGGCTAGAAATTTTACACTATTTTTTGTTTATCTACTACAAGAAAAGGAATTTTAAAATATCCAACGAGTCACATTCAGAATGTTGTTAAACGGCTCGATTTAGCCAATTTATAAAAACGGCTAACAGATTTTGGCCAAAAATAAATTACTCAAGCGTATTGATTTTTCCAATAGATGGCTGAAAGGTTTGGACTTTTATTGTCGATATTTTGATGCTTATCTAATAATATTTAGACTAAAATCTTGATTTCGCCCTTTTTAAAAATCGGATAAATGCAGCTGTTTAACAACACTATAGTCACCCAGAAACATTGCAAATATTTAAAATAATATTATTAATTTTTGGAGAATAAAAAACACGGGAAATCTAGTTGGGATTTAAAATAGAAAATATTGATATTTTTATGATATTAATTCAAAGATAGTTGCTAAATAAAATCAATATAAATATAGGATCAGTTTTTAGGAATATTTGATTCGCTCGGATTGGTAAAAATTTGTAGAACGATACAGCCCTAATATTAGTTAAAATTATCCTGAATACTTTCTGGAGGTTCTAGAAGGCGTTCTTTAATTTTGACGGAACATACATAGGCAACGATTTTTTTAAAGTTATTGGAACAGAGCAGAACAAAAAAAAGCTCTTATGCTGACCCATCATATTAAGAAAACAAAAGAAATATAATTTTAAATTCCTTAACTATGGAACATATTTCTTATTTGCCAAAAAAAATAAAAATTTATTTAAATTAATCAACTTCATCTAACATACAGGGTTTCCCATTCAAAAAAGGAAAAGTCCCAATCAAAAAAGGAAAAGTTTCAATCATAAAAGGAAAAGGTCTGATCAAAAAAGGAAAAGGTCCAAACAAAAAAGGAAAAGGTTCAATCAAAAAAGGAAAAAGTCCATACAAAAAAGGAAAAGTGTCAATCAAAAAAGGAAAATTCCCAAAAAGAAAGGAAAAGGTTCAATCAAAAAAGGAAAATCGTAATTTTTTTAAAAAAATATATAAACTTTTCAATTTTTCTTAAATTTATTTATTTTTGTCATTCCTTCTTATTTCATTTCTAACTTTTTGCGATTTCTTTATTTTATTTGTATCTTTTCTCAATTTTTTTCTTCTCATTTTTGGTAATTCTTTTAAGTATATTTAATTTTCACTAAATTTTTGGCAGACTTTTTTATTATAATTTTTTACATAATTATTTAATTACAATTACGATATATATTTAATATAGTACGAAACAAAAATTTATATTAATCATTAATAATTTCTTCCCTTCTACATTTTGGGATATATGTCTCCATATTTCTAAAATAATTTTTTGCATTTTCTTCAGATATTCCTCTTTCTCCATGTTCTATATAACGAATTAATTCTTCCTCGTTACTAGGATTTTTATTTCTGACAAAATCCTTCCATTGAAAAAACACATTCTCAATAGGATATACGAACTGTAGAGTGGAAAATATTTCAATGTATGTCCTTTTCTTTCGATCGATTCCCTAATTGAATGATTGTGATGAAATGGAACATTGTCCTTCACAAAAATCATGTTACATTCTTCAAAATGATTTAATATTTCATTTATAAAGTTGATAAAATATATAGCATTTCAAGAGCCATTAAGAACTTCGAATCTAAATATTCCTGCAATTGTGAGAGCCGCAATGATAGTGTAATTTATTGTCTTTATTCCTTGAACATTTTTAATTGCCTTTTTATTTATTTGGGAATATCCATATAATCCCCTCATTGTTATTGAAAACCCGCTCTCATCGATAAATATAAATTTTTCCTTCATATATGCTACATCTACAAACCAATTCGCGTATTCTTTGCGAATCTCTATATTTGATTCGTTATTTTCTCTAAGTGAACGTAATGATACTCTTTTAAAGCTGTACCTAAATCCTGAGAGTAACCTTGATACCGTATTTTTTGATATTTCCACATCATATCTTTCTTTAATGATTTCACATAACCTTTTTAAGGATAAAGTGCAATCCAAATTTATACAATTTAATATATATTCTTCCTGCTCTTTATTTAATTTTTGCGTGCACGTGAACCTCCTTTGAGTAAGCTATATTTTATTCCATTTTTGAGATGAGAGTATATTATATTTGTCACTCTTATAGCTTACTTTAAAACATGATGCTATATTTTTGATACTATCTTTTTTTAACGCGTCAATTATTAGAGCTTTTGTTTCACTGTTAATATTTTTTCCCCTTTTTACCATATCTTCATAATTTTATTTTTTAAAACAAAAAAATGTATTTTTAAAGTATATACTCAACAAATGGAAGTGAAAAAGATTATAAAAACCTCATTTGCGTTTAATTTTTCATAAATCAAAATAGTTTAAAAGATAATTAAATTACAAAATAATTATTAACTTGCTAAAAAGAATAAATGCGTTTTGAATATATTAAAATTTTAAAAATATAAGAATTTTAAAATGATTATATTTTATTAATTTACATATCGTTTGGTATTACAGTTCAAACTTATTTATTATAACCAAACGATTAATTTAATATTGTAATTATAAATATGTATGTAAAAAATAGTCTGCCAAAAAAATAATATAATTTTAAAAAAGAATTATCAAAAATGAGAAGAAAAGATTTAGTAAGAAAAATAAATTGAGAAAAGATACAAATAAAGTAAAGAAATAGCAAAAAGTTAGGAATAAAATAAGAAGGAATGACAAAAAATAAATAAAATTTAAGAAAAATTGAAAAATTATAAAAAAATTACGATTTTGCTTTTTGAATGGGAATTTTCCTTTTAAGATTGAAACTTTCCCTTTTTTGATTTGACCTTTTCCTTTTTTGAATGGGAAACCTTGTATGTTGAGGGCATGAAAGTCATACCCATCAAGACAAAAAATGAATAATTTAAATCTAAAGATATTTAAATTAGATTTTATTTGATACCCATATCGATATCTTGTGGTGATAAAAATATTCCTGACCCTCCAAGACCTAGACCCGCCCTCTATGCGTGATTATTATTATGACAATAAAAAAATATTTTTATTAAGTTTTATTTGATACCCATATCAAAAAAATTTATTTTTTACCCCCCCCCCTCTATACACCCCTCCCCAACTACCCTCAGACCAAGTCATACCCATCCAGACCAAAAATGAAGACTTTCAGTTAGACCATATTAAAATTAGCTTTTATTTGATACTTATAACAAAAAATTTATTTTTACACCCCCCCCCTCCCCACCCTCAGACCAAGTCATACCCATCCAGACCAAGAATGAAGACTTTCAGTCAAACCACAAAAATGAGAAGAAAAAAAATTGAGAAAAGATATAGTGAGAAAAGATACAAATAAAATAAAGAAATCGCAAAAAGTTAGAAATTAAATAAGAAGGAATGACAAAAATAAATAAATTTAAGAAAAATTGAAAAGTTTATATATTTTTTTAAAAAAATTACGATTTTCCTTTTTTGAATGGGAATTTTCCTTTTTTGATTGACCCTTTTCCTTTTCCGATTGACACTTTTCCTTTTTTGATTGGACCTTTTCCTTTTTTGTTTAACACTTTTCCTTTTTTGTTTGACACTTTTCCTTTTTTGATTGAACCTTTTCCTTTTTTGTTTGACACTTTTCCTTTTTTGATTGACAATTTTCCTTTTTTGATCGGACCTTTTCCTTTTTTGATTGAACTTTTTCCTTTTTTGTTTGACACTTTTCCTTTTTTGATTGAACCTTTTCCTTTTTTGATTGGGACTTTTCCTTTTTTGCATGGGAAACCCTGTATGTATGATGAAAAAAAAAACGTAAAGAATTGTTAAAAAAAATGGACCTAAATTTATAAATTATTTTTAAAAATAAAAAAGAATTATCAAAAATGAGAAGAAAAAAAATTGAGAAAAAATAAATTGAGAAAAGATACAAATAAAGTAAAGAAATCGCAAAAAGTTAGAAATAAAATAAGAAGGAATGACAAAAATAAATAAAATTTAAGAAAAATTTATAATTTTTTTAAAAAATTTTAAAAAATTACGATTTTCCCTTTTTGATTGACACTTTTCCTTTTCTTTTGGGAATTTTCCTTTTTCGATTGACACTTTTCCTTTTTTGTTTGACACTTTTCCTTTTTTGATCGGACTTTTTCCTTTTTTTATCGGACTTTTTCCTTTTTTGATTGACACTTTTCCTTTTTTGTTTGGACTTTTTCCTTTTTGATTGAACCTTTTCCTTTTTTGATTGGACCTTTTCCTTTTATGATTGAAACTTTTCCTTTTTTGATTGGGACTTTTCCTTTTTTGATTGGGACTTTTCCTTTTTTGAATGGGAAACCCTGTAAGTTGATAAATAATGATATATATTTTTTATAAAATATTGATATAGAACATGGTGGACATTAACTGGCAATTTTGGGCCCTTTTTACCTATCGACTGGAACAAAACGCTGGCTAAGAAACTGTACCTACCTTCACTCAATATGAGAAATGACAAAGTATATCTATTATTTAAATGTTCGGATGTTGATTAAACGTTTCAACTATCAAAATATTGTTCCGGATAATAAACTTCTATCTTGACACCTAGAATATTCTGACTATATAGAACATTTTAAATAGGATTTTTCCAGGGCTGGGCCATGATAGAGAGGATTTGTATAATTAATATAGATTGTTTCATTACGTAAGATTTAGAAATGTAATAGAGAAAGGAACTAAAATTTAAAATAATGACTACTATAATATTTTAATAAATACAATATTCCCGTTTTTTTTACTTTTTTCCCCTCATTTAATATATCAAATTTGTTTTATCTAAAAATATTGCTGTGACCGTATTCTGTTGTAAAACGCCGGTCATAATCTATAGTTGAGTATTCCCTTCATTCCTAACCGATTTCAAAAACGGCTAAAAAAATATTTCTTAGACAAAAACTATCAATAGTAGCTCAACCTTAAAGAAAGTGGGGAAAAAATTAACTCGCTTCTCAACATAGTAGATTTTATATCGCCAGGCAAAGGTAGATTGAGCCGATGCCTTAATTTAGGTTCCACGTCTTTATAGAGAAACCATTATAGAGAATGTATTTTATAGAGAAACATTTATAGAGAAAACAATTATAGAGAATTGTTTTATAGAGAATGTAGTTTATAGAGAATGTTTTATATAGAGAATAATTTTTATAGAGAATTAATTTATAGAGAATTAATTTATAGAGAATTAATTTATAGAGAATTAATTTATAGAGAATTAATTTATAGAGAATTAATTTATAGAGAATGCCGTTTATAGAGAATGGTTTTATAGAGAATGTCGATTATAGAGAATGATTTTAAAGAGAATTATTTTATAGAGAAGGTCCTTAATAGAAAATGACTTCAAAGAGAATGATTTTATAGAGAATGCTGTTTATAGAGAATGATTTTAAAGAGAATTACCTTTATAGAGAATTATTTTGTAGAGAATTACATTGTAGAGAATTATTTTGTAGAGAATTATTTTCTAGATCTTGATTTTATAGAGAAATATTATATATGGGACAATTATAGAGTTCAAAAAATTTATGCGGGATTTGAAAAATATATCAAAATTAACATTTTAATAATACAATTCAGTTTATTTGTTGTATTTTTTCTATGACTTTATTTGTTTCAACAATGGTTTTTTTGTAAAATCTTTTTAGTTCATATCAAGGTTTAGCTTGATTATTAACTCAGCTAAACCAAACCTGAAACGATTTGTTAAATATGTATTAACCGTTATTAAAAAGAATCTATACTGAACCAACCATTTTAAAATTTTTATATATTGCATTTATATGTCAGCTACCTAAATTAGCCTATAGAAGGGTTCTTAACTTTACCCTTATGGCTATAATATGACGGACGAGAATCTTGATTTTAATTTTAATTAAGAAAAGGTTTTAACCAGTTGTTTGGGTAAAAAATATGCCATATTCCCGTTCTTTCTGCGTTTCGGAACACGTTTCTAATATAATTTTCTTTCTATTTTATTGTACAAATTTTATTTATAAATCTTTTTAATATAGATAACTAAGAATTCATTAATCTCTATTGATACACATTTAGATGTATGCGATGGCTTTAATATATTGAGTGTCGAAGAGTGCCGATCTCTATTTGGGGTTCCACATATTTATAGAGAAACCAATATTTTTGATTTAATAGAAGCACCATAATTTTGTCCTACCTAAAAAACCAAAACCGTCATTTGAAGGTTTCATATAAGATATTATAGCGAATGCATTATCGCGAATGTATTATAGCGAATGCATTATAGCGAGTATAATACAGCGAAAATATTATAGCGAGTGCATTATCGCGAATGTATAAGCGCGAATGCATTATCGCGAATTCATTGTCGCTAATGCATTATTTTAAATGAATTACATCAGTTGCGATATCGGGAATGGAGTTTGATGAAAACTACAATTTTATCGGCCTTTAGACAGACTTAGTTGAACCTGGAAATTAAGTTTAAGTCGGGCTTGGGTCTAAAAATATTTTTTTTTTTTTAAATAGGGTTAAGGCTTTTGATTTTTTTGACTCAAAAAATATAAAAAAGATTCTAAGCAAAAAAATAGATTTTTCTAAATATTAGGGTAAAGGAATTAAATTTTTATATTAATTTATTGTTTAAATATGCGTTTAGTTATATTTTTCAATTAAATTTGGGACAGGCTCAGGCCTAAAATTTAAAATTATGGCTAGGCTCCTAAAAATAAAGATTTTGGATGGAGCTTTGGCCGAAATAAATAAAATTTGCAAGGCACTAAGAAACAAAGTTTTATTTAAAACATTGAGCCAAACAGATAATTAGACCTCGGATTTATATTATTCTTTAACAAAGCATGCTTTAATTAGTGAGGGATTTAGTATGGACTTGATAAGCATTTTTTGATAATAAATTTCTATAAAGTTCTCTTATTGCTTAATCAAAAAGACAAGGTCAAAGCTTATCACAACAAGACATGAAACAATATTCAGCATCATAGGTAGATTGTCGAATTGAATTGCTATCCATCTCAGTATTTAATTCGTGTAATCTCTGATGATGAAATTGCCACTATTGTGACTCAGGAATTGGGGAAAAAATAGATTATTGATTTCCTTAATTGATTCTTGCTAAGTTCTTGCTTCCTGACGAGTTTTTTTTCTAATTATGTGATCAAAGACAAAATTGTATAAAAATGGATATAGAAATATAATAAATATAAGTAGAGCTAAAATTGAATGTATTATTAAAAATAGCTTAGCTATTTTTAATACAAATTATAATATATTTCCATTTCAGTTCAGTTGTTATATTTTATTAATCTGATGAATGTCATAAATTTTATTAGAGTGGCGATAATAGTGATTGGACGTTACTATCATCGCTGAAGATGAGAAAATTTAATGGAATAAAATATTTACTTTGTGAGTTGTACTTCAAGGAGTAGATACAACCCTAAAAAATCGAAAGGTGGAAAATATCTCTTTTTTACATTTTCGATGCCTTCATATTTTTTTAAATGTGTATTCTTCAAGACTAAAAGAGGTTTAGAAAGATTTAAAATAAAAGTTTTAAAAGCAAGCATTGACGGATATTAAAATTAATTAAGCTGAAGCGAACTTATCATTTATGATTCCACATTTTGTAGAAAGCAAGGCCCTATAAAAAATATATCTGTCTCAGGAAGCGTAGATAATGAAAATCCTTATGTTATGCTGGAAAATAAAAAAAATTTTATTAAGAAACACCCACCCACCCACCCCCTTCCCCCTTCCAACAGAAAAGTTTGAATAAATAATTAGCCCTAATGATACGAAGAAATTTAAATATTAATGATAATTATACTTGCTTAATAACCAGATCTATAGACCGACTACCAATAATAAAAAGATGCTTAACCATTCAAATAATGTTGGAAGGCGAAGGGGTTATAACTCAAGATTGGCATTGAAATTAAAATGGGTAGTTTGTATTTGGAATTCCGTTGTTCTAATTTTGATGTGGTATGTGGTATAGGAAATGAGGGGAGTGGGGGAAGAAGGGGGTAGTATTATAATATATGATGCAAAATCTTTTGATAATTAGGTATTTGAAATATCTTCTAAGTGTAAAAGAATTAGTAAAATATTGTGCAATCTGCTGCAAATATCAAGCTTCGATATTTTCTAAAGAAAGACATTACAATGCGATGGAAATCAGTGTATATCATGATTGCAAAGAATAAAGTTCTTAACGTTATAGCGCGAGGTTCGAGTCAGTAAAAATATATTTTATTAACTAACTTTTTCATTTCACACTTCGTTTATATACATTTTTTTATAAGTCCAAATTAGAATATAAACGAAATACAAAAAAATAAAATAATATAAAAAAAGTAAGGTTACGCCGTTTATAAAATAAAATTAGATTATAACAAATACTAAAAATTATATAGTAATAAATAATAATATTTGAATAATGCAACATTCTCCCTCTTCTGATAATTTCATCGGAGAAGTCATGAGTTTGTTGTCCAAGTGGTTTATCGTTTTGGTAATCAAGTTGTATCACAAATTATCATAACGTTGGCTTGTCCCTTTCGCGTTTTAGTGTTTAATTATTGCGTTTTAGTATTTAATTTAATTATCTCCGAGGTTAAAATATGCAAATATATTATTCACATTTCCCTCTCTTTAAATAAAAAATTTCAATTTCACACCCTAGTTTTAATTCAAAAAGTGTTATTTTTAATAAAAATTCTTCATACTTTCAAAAGCTTTATTTCAAAAACATTTTTATCATATTAAGTATTACTTATAAGGGTTATTTAAATCAATCACTTTTAATTCATATGTTTTAAGTACATAATAATATATTTAAAATTAAAGTTATATCTTCTTGTTTAGGATTTTAATGGTTTATTTCACTAAGAATTTAAGTAAATAATTTTTTAAAGGCTTTTTTGTGTGTTCAAATATATCCATTATGATTTTACATTTTAGTGATTTTAAAAATTTATAACATGCCTTTATCCTGGCATAAAATTTTAATTTTTAATAACTTTTCTTCTTACGTGGATTAGAATAATAAGTATTCATCATTGGTCTCACAAAATAGAATTCATAACCTATCGTTCAACTTCCATATCAGTTCTTCCTAGGTTGTCACATTAGGTTAGGTGCTGGCTATTATATTCCAGTCCAACATCCAGAGCCGGGACACCATAAAGAAAGAAGCTTTTTGCATGAAAGAACGTACTAAGGTTTGATTCTTGGTCATCTCAGTATATTAGGCATAGGATATTAATAGCTTAGGCAGTCACAATAGATAAGATAGTCATCTCAATAGGTAGTCATCTCCATAGGTTAAGCAGTCTCTATAGGTTAGATACACAATAGGTAGTCATATCAATAGATAAGGTAGTCATTTCAATAGGTAAAGCAGTCTCTATAGGTTAGATAGTCGTCACAATAGGTAGTCATCTTTTTATAGTCCACCACCCAAGAGGCACCATGCAAAGAATAATGATGGTGACGATATCGCGCGAGGTTCGAGTCAGTAAAAATATATTTTATTAACTAACTTTTTCATTTCACACTTCGTTTATATACATTTTTTTATAAGTCCAAATTAGAATATAAACGAAATACAAAAAAATAAAATAATATAAAAAAAGTAAGGTTACGCCGTTTATAAAATAAAATTAGATTATAACAAATACTAAAAATTATATAGTAATAAATAATAATATTTGAATAATGCAACAATGATACAAAGCTTCTTATAATCATATGATGAAATACAAGTTTGTCTGTGAACCAACCATATTTAAACAAATTGGTATCAATAAATATAATCCCTATATGTAAATAAAAAATTTCTTATAAATATTAAAAGTCTGATCTTCGGAATGTTTAACAAGTGCAAAAAACCTATAAAAAACATTTTAAACTTTTTGATTCATTTTTCTCTACACTGCTAAGGAGTTTAGGCTTGTAATAAGAAATTTTCATTTTACTAAAATCAATTTAGAGAAAAAAGTATATTATTTTAAATTTTGTCGATGTATAATTTTTAGGTAAGGGTTTGAACTATCATTTTGTATTTTGTAAATTCAGATACAATTATTTTCGGACCTATGAAGATTTTGACAGAAATTGATCCAACCACCCCCTGGTCTTCCCAGCCTACCCTGTGAATATTAGACAGTACTCTAGTGATCTTTTAACTAAACTTAATTTTGGTAAGGCGATAGTTTGATGGGTGTTGTTTTATTTTTTGTTATTATTTGCATTTAAAATCATTAATTGTGCGTTTTATTAAATTTAAAAATCTGATTTTGCCAGAAATGCACCTGAATAAGTGTAGAATACCCACCCTTAATGTTGCGCAATCGGTTAATTTTAGGCAATTCCAAAACGGTTAGCCAAGTTTTTAGATTAAAAAATCGGCTAAGCATAATTAAGCTTAGCATAAAAATAGCGAAAACATTATTCAAAAATTAGGCATCGGCTAAGGAGCTCGGTCGCCCGTCATATATCGTTACATAATAAATATATAAAATAATTTTAATAAAGGCTGGACTTAGTGTTGCGTAACGCTGACGGGCGATTAGCCTAGCTCCCAATCCTTACATTTTGTCTTAAGCGATTTTTCGGTTAAGCCAAATTATGTTTAGCTGATTTTTAGGCTACTAACACTACTTATAAATTTCAGATTATTGTAAATTAAAATTTCTTCAGAGTTTCAATATAAGATCTTCTGAAATTTATAGGGTGGGTATTCTACACATATTATAATGCATTTTCGGCAAAATCAGATTTAAAATTTAATAAAACGCGCTCAATTTATGATTTAAAATGAAAAAATAGAACAAAATAAAATTATTAAATACAAAAAAATTTTGGCGCATGAAATTCCCAGAGTAGATTCTCTTTGGAATTGGTAAAATCAGATTTATTAGGGAAATTATAAAAGCGCACTATAAATCAGAGACCTACCGGCCCGACCTTAAACCCTGGCCGTATTTTAATTTTTTTAAATATACCCGGGCCGAGCCTAAAATTTTTTTTTTAAATACACGGCCCGGGTCAAAAAAAGCTTTTTTTTTAAAAACTCGGGCCAATCCAAGAAGAAATAATGCAAAAAGCAACTAAATATTGACAAAATTTTCTAAAACAATTGGCGTAAGGCTGGCTTTGTTGCTATTATTTATTATTTTTAAATGGCTACTCTACTAGTTAAAGCAAAGCACTAATATAATCTGATAAAGAAGGAAACATTTTCATAATTTTAGCATTACTATTTCTAATTGTTCAGCATATTTTAAAGAAAATAACAACAGGAAACTCAAAAATATTATCATAATTATTCATAAGCAATACAAATCAGGAACGTGAATAATTTTTTTTAAGATTATTTTTTCCCTTTTTTTATTCAAGGGTTCCGAGAATTTATATGACGGCATCTGGCTTGTTTTTTTTGAGAAAATTTATTTCTAAAATAATACTTAATTCATTTTCTATAAAATCATTCTCTATAAAATTCTTCAATATTAAATTGTTCTCTATAAAATCCTTCTCTATAAAATAATTCTCTCTAAAACAATTCTCTGTAAAATATTCTCTATAAAATAATTCTCTGTAAAACAATTCTCTGTAAAATATTCTCTATAAAATCATTCTCTATAAACGAGTTCTCTATAAACGACATTCAAATATAATTGTTTTCTCTGTATAAAAGTTTCTCTATAAAATAAATTCTCTATAAAATCATTCTCTAGAAACGAGATTCTCTATAAAATCATTCTCTATAAATGAGATTCTATATAAACGACATTCTCTATAATTGTTTTCTCTTTAAAAGTTTCTCTATAAAATCATTCTCTATAAACGATATTCTTTATAAACGGCATTCTCTATCATTGTTTTATCTATAAAAATTTCTCTATATTTGCATTCTCTATAAAAGATTGTCTGTAAAGACGGGATACCCTTAATTTATAGTCACAAACACTGACATTCTGCAATTAATGTATTACGATACAACTTGTAAGTTGTAATTTTGATAATATAGACCATTTCCCGACCGCGTTGCAGTTAACAAAAAAATCTAATAATTATTTTTATATATAAATAACTAAATAGTAATATTTTATTTTTGCCTTAGAATTTTTTGAAAACAAAATAAATTTATTTAACACTTTTTAGACAGCTTGCTAATAAATGTAAATTTATTGTACTATAATTACAGTGTTCTGATGCATTAACTGGTGGAAAATAAAATGATTTTAGGTGAATATTTTTTTTATTGTAATCTGAAATATATCGATTTAAATTTTTTTAGTGTAATAAATAACTAACAACAAATGTAACATGCTTTATAACATTCCTCGAGATATCAGATATTTTATAAAAATTTAAAAGCCGGAAACATTAAATCAAAGAAACGGTTTAAAAGAAAATTATAGGATTTTTCGCTAAAAGGGAGGCTATAACTGTACCTATTATACAACAAAAACCTTGTAAAAAACTTATCTATTTTTAATTCTGTTGTTGGGTATAGCGGGAACACGTAACTATTGAAATTCATTTATAATCTATCTTTTCGATGTTTTTAAAGAACGAAATGGATAAGGTTAATAATTAGGACCGGTTATGTTTTGGATAACATTGAAAGGTGACCAATATTATGGGGTATTTTAGTGGGAGGAACGGATCCTGAAAGGTCAAGGTAAGGAGAATGCTATGGTCGCCTTTGGAGGCTTTTCTTAATCAAATTGATCTCAGAGTTTCTCATTTTATAATTATCAAACACTTTGCAAAAGTATATGGTCTAGCCAGGATTTGAATTTTTTTTTCAAGCCCAGCTGTTTTTATTTTTTCTGGTCCGGATATTTTATTTTTTAACCTTTTTATGACTCAGCCCGTAATTTGAAATTTTGGCTGTATTTTGTAAATTGTTTCAAGAGGAAAATTGAAAAATATGAGCAGTAAATGACTAATAAATATTTCATTTTATTCATTTTCCCACTGATATATGGATATAATTTATATTTTTTAAATTTCCCCGATAATAAATATTTATTAGGCCCAACCTGGGTTTATTATCTAAAAATATTTACGGGGCTTTGGCCTCTGTGATCTCTGATATTTATCAAGCAAATAATGTCTAAAAAGGGATATATAAAACCCCATTTTGATTACTTCCTTATGTTGTCCCCCTTTAGTTTAGTACTTCCCTATGGAACTAATAAATGTTAAAATGTTTTATAACCATTTTTACTTAAATTATTGGTGAATAGAAAGATAAGTATAATTAGCCCAAAATAATGATACACGAATTTGTGGTAATGTGATGCTTTTTTTTTGATAAATATTTACAGTACTAAAGTGAAATAATATTTATATTGCTTAAAAAAAGCTAGAAAAGGTCCCTGAAAAAAATAGTAATTGGGATAAAACATTATTAAGCGCTATTAACATCTCGAGAAGGGGATGAATAGTAGTATTGTTAAACAGTTCGGTTTAGCCACTTTTAAAATGATATTTTAGCCAAAATAATATTAGGCAAGCTTCGAGATTTCGTTAATAAAAGTTCAAGCCTTTCTGCCAACTATGACCAAATCTCTAGGCTTGAGTAATATTCTTTGGCTAAAATATTGGGTTAGTCATTTTTAAAAATCAAGCCGTTTAACAATACTAATGAATAGCGTGATTAGTTTATAAAAATTAGCCTATCTTATTATATCTCTTGACTGACTGGATGTATTTTATTTTATTGATTTTTCAGATGTAAATTCGAAAAACTATTATTATTATTTTTTTACCAATTTAAATAATAAAAATATTGATAAAGATCAATTATGAATTCAAATTTTTTAGTGTACATTTTTTGTATTAAAATACAAATGGATAAAATAAAAAATGTTTTGATTTTTATAGATAGATATAGATAAAGAAAGAAAGAAAGAAAGAAAGAAAAAGGAAAGAAACAAAAAAGTAAGAAAGAAGGAATTAAATAAAAATATGAATATTTAACTCCGTAATAATGAAAACTGAAAGAGATTTAATATTAATAAAAGGTATAATCAGCAATATTGGTCTTTTTAAGAAAAGTTACTTATTAAATAAGATTCATAAAAATAATATCTGTCCAATCGATGAATAATCATTGGCTAGATATTAAAAAAAATTATTGTTTAATAGCTTAAAAAAGGCATTATTAATATATATAGTGTTAACCGACCTTCCTATCTTAATCCGCTTTAGGTAGGCCCTACCAAAATTCTAGCAAAAAAATAGTTAACAAAATGCTTTGAGTAATTCCTCTATATTATCTAAAAATCTAACCGTCTTTGAGTAAGCACTTTATGGAGGTTTCACTATAATAAAGAACTTATAAAATATAAACAATACAATACTCTAATATATATAATTTTAATTAATAAACTCAAAGCACACCTTCGAAGATGACGCTAGTTACAATTCGTCGGATTGTGAAACAGAACAATTTCGCAAATTTAAAATGCACCAAAGCGCCTTAAATGATAAAATTGGAAAGCAAGACGCTATTTTGCAAATAGAAACAGCCGAAGAAGTCATCAAAGAACTCAATCGGATGCTTAAAGTCATATTAAAATTTATAGAAAATTTTTGGTATTAAAATTAACTCCTTACAATAAAAAAAACATATGATAATAATAATGGGTGAGTGAGTAAAAATAAAGAATTATGCGACTATCATAATTAAGATTGTATTTCTTATACAATTAAAAAGGTTTACCCGCCCGATTTATCCTTAAATTTTGTTTACTCCGCCCCCCCCGTCTAATGTTAAAATATTATTTTAATAGCTGGTTTGACTTTTTATTAATTTTAATATATTTTTAATTAAGAATATATATTTGAAATAAAATTATTATTTTTAATAAATTGAAGTCTGTTTTGCTCATTTCGCCTGAAAAATTTATAAAATTTACCCTCCCATGCCATCCCATTACTTAAAATTTTTAAACCGCCCGCCACCCGCACAATGTTAAAAATATTTTAGTAAACCCGTGGGCGGGCGTTGGTGTAGGGCTAAAAACCCGCCCATTGCAGACCTCTAATATAGACTAACCATAGTCAACATCAAGTCTTTACCATATCATGTTTATGAAAAAAATATTTAAATGCCACTCAATAAATAATTTTAATATTGATATTCACACACCCGTTATACCCACATGTCGGCCGTTTCATCTGTTAAGAATGTTTATAAAAATGTTCTATATATTACCCATTTCTTTAATATTGACCAAAACTTAACTACTATTGATTGGTCATTTTATGGGGGTTTTAGGTTTCTTTGTAATAATATGATTCCACTAATGAATTTATAGTAATATATATAAATTAATAGATTTATAGATTAGAATATAATCGTGGCTTGATTATTATATGGTTCCATTATATCCACTTTTGGTCGATATTGAGTTAGGGCCGAAATCTTATTCTCATGGACCTCACCCCCCCTTTTCTTTCAGAAAACCATCAAAAATTATTTTTGATTATTTATTTTATTTTATTTTGATCCAATGATTTACCTATATATATGGTCTTATTTGTTTAATCAATCATAAATCTTTTAAACACCTGCTCTAAATAAACAACCAAAAGCAAAACACCTAGAAGGGAGTGATTAATTCCAGAAATTAAGGCGGAAATATATAAATTAAACTATTAAAAATAAGAATTTATGAAAGTCATTGTAGTAACTGTTAAGAAGAAATAGAAGACAATATTTGGCTTGTAAAGATGGTGAAATAGGACACACCATGCATTCAATATATTAAGTCACTTCTGTAAACCGTCCTGCTTTAGGAAGCTACCAATATTAAAATTAGTAAACAGTAAAACATTGAATAATCCAGAACAAGTAGCACTTTCGCTTGATTATTACATGAATACATTTATATCAAGAATACCCAAACTTAATGATATCCAAAGATATGAGGTTCCTACCTTCGTTCAAATCAAATCCGAACACCTTAAAAAGACTTCTTATAACATATCCAAGTATCTATTAATCTTTATAAAAAATTTTGAAAACAACTGAAAACCTAACCTTAGAGATTGGAATCTATCTGTACTCTGCAACTTTCCCTAAAAACCAAATCCTTATATTTCAATGATTTTAGAGCTATATTACTGACATCAGTCCTATCAATGGTATTTATAACTTCTAAAAAATAGGACACTGGACCCAAAAATTTATTGAGTAAAAATATATACATGATTACCATTCAAGGAAGAATATATTAGAGCCTTTATTAGCCCTGAAGGTAACTTTGCGGAAATTTCTTAGATACAAATTCCATATATGTTTACATTCATTGACTTCGAAAAGGCCTTCGATAAGGTAAAGCATTCTGAATTATGAAACCCCAATGTATAGAAAGAAACTTAATCAAAATCCTAAAATTTTATTATAACAATTCGTTTGCCAAGTTCCAAATGTGGCAAATTCAATCCCCTCCGTTTAGGATTAAAAGAAAAATAAAGCAAGGGTGTATATTTCCCCGATGATTTTCAATTTAATTGAACAAGATTATATTTGACACAATTAGAGATAACTAACATTTCTACTGAACATTCTCATAGGATCAACCAATAAAATATAATTTCATATGCCGATGACATCGTTCTTATCGCACATTCAGAAACGGAACCTATTAATTTTATAAAAAATACTACACATAATAAAAAAGTTGATTAAGTCTTAACTACAACAAAACTTTTATCATGCCGTCACCAAGCGCGCCAATCAATGATACTATAGTCTACTCGAAGGTCATAAAGGCTACTGAATGCTTTAAATATCTGGGAGTCACCATGGACAACAAAGGGAATACACAGGGCGAAATTGAGATTAGATTAAAAAATGTCAATATCACAATAAGAAATATAATAAACTTTGTTCATCTAAAGAAATATCGGTGAAAACTCGCATAAGAATATTTAGCTCTATAGTAATACCAGTCTTGCTATATGAGAGCAATACGTGGGACTCAATTAATACACAATTAAAGAAAGTTCGAGATTTCATTAACAGGAGTGGTAGACAATTAAATAGTTATGTTTATCCCTAAATCATATCTCATAAAAAATTATGGGAAACTCCATTCATAAGCCCACACATATAACACTTAGGAAGAAGTGAACATAAATTGCTTGGACATATACTAAGGAATTACATTATAAATATAGCTAACGATGCATTGTTTTGGCTAACTCATATTAAGGCGAAAAATATGAACTCTACATTGTCTACATAAAGCCACTAGTGATGTTTTGAGTTTAAATGTAAATATAAAACAATTTATAAAACTAAATAATAATTAAACAATTTACAAAACTCAAGAATAATAAAAGGTCCATCAAAAAACTTCCGAAGACGTAAATAAATTACACCAAAAATTGGAAACCCTAATTTGATTCCAAGCCGTTCCATTCACTTCTATAACGACCGATTCCTTTTCAACTTTACCATTTGAAAATAAATATACTAATCGATAGAAAGGTAAAAACTTCCTGATTTCTTTATATAAAACAACGCTTCTCAGCACTAATCTCACATGAACTCAGTTGTAAACCTATTAAGCTTTCAGTAGAAATTAAATTTCGCTTTGCCAGACCCATATCAAATGAAAGATTTTCTTTTAAAGCGAGTAGGTGCTCTTTTCACTATTTTTTAATGCCCCTAAACGTTTAAGCATTAAAGCACTAGGAGATGAAGGAATACATTTCCTTACAAATCTATATAATAAAATACTGGGAAACGAAGAGATTCCTCAAAAATGGAGGCAGAGCTATCTAGTTTTTATTTTCAAAAATAAAGGAAATCCACACAATTGTCAAAATGACAGGGGCATGAAATTAATGTCACATTAAACTTTACGAAAAATTAATAGAAAAAAGGTTAAGAGACATAGTCGAAATAGGAAAGACTCAGTTTGGCTTTATGCCTAGAAGATCAACGACTGAGGCAATCCACGCAATTAGGCAAATGAGTGAAAAGTACTGAGAAAAAGACAAAAAGCTACACATGGTTTTTCTCGATCTAGAAAAGGCCGTCGATAGAATCCCAAGAAAACTTATCTGGTGGACGCTACGCCACAAAAAGGTTCCCAAAAATATATAAGAATAATAGTGGATGTATATGGGCCATACAACAATGGTCCGCACAACTGATACTTCAGCAGGCTTCACAATAGCCGAAGGAGTTCATCAAGGGTCGGCTCTCAGCCCACTTCTCTTTATAACAGTAATAGATATATTATCAACAATCCCGTGGAATATGATATTTAGGACTTGCCTAATCCAAGGATTGAAAGAAAGATTAGTGAGTTGGATACCTAGAAAAGCACGGACTAAAAGTAAACAGAGAAAAGACCGAGTATATGGTGATAGGAGGAGATGAAACAAAGAGCATTGATATAAATGAAATGGTTCGGAAACATGGCCAACCAAAGAATCAGACGAGAGAAGTCTACAAACTATTGCTGAGGATGATTGCTGGGGTATCAAGAAATAATAAGGTGCTAAGTACAAGAATACTAGGAAGTTTAATAGTGACTCTTAAGACTAAGAATGGCGAACAGACTTAGGTGATATGGGCACAATGAAAAGGCCTATAAACTATATAGGAAATAAGGTTAAGAGTTTGGAAGTGATGGGTAAATGTAAAAGAGGAAGGTCAAAACTTCAATGGGGCCATAAAGTTAGGGCCAATATGAAGAAATATAAATTAGATAAAAGAAATAGCATGAATAATATAAACTGGAGGAGATATTGAAGGAGCTTACCACCAGAAAAAGGTGAAAGCTAAAAAGAAAATAAAACGTTTAAGAATGAAGCTAGTCTTAATATGCGCACAGGTAACTGCAGCCTGTCCAAAAATTGGTGGATGATTCTTGTCATTTTAAATTAACCCCCATATGTCTCTTTTTACCCAGTTTGATGGGCGTGAGAAGAATCAAGCTTAGCTCTGTTGTTTTCAACAACACAAAAGGGCGAGACGCTTAAAGAATGACGTAATAAAATACATTTTGTTGTCTCCGGCCCTACTCAGTCAAACCTATTTCTTCATTTTTACTTATCCACTCTAATGTATTCTTCCTCTTTACCTGAATTCTATTTTCTTATAAATCTCCTCCCCCAATTTTAAAAACCACCACACTTTTTCACCTTCATTCATTTTAAACTTTCTCTCCCCTTTTTACTAATTTTACTTTATTCCCAAGGCCATTAAGCCCCGGGCCCAAATATATCACCTTCACACTGTAACATCACTTTCATAACTTCCTCTTTTCTTTTAGCGGAATTTATTTCCTTATCAAAATAACTCGATTACCACAATACCCCTTTTCATTCATTCTACTGATCATCGACTTGGATATTAAATGATATGATTAAATTTACGGAATTACCCTCAAGCATCATATTTGTCAAAAATATAATTTTAAATTTTATGAATAATTATTATCATAATTTGATCCAAATGCATCAAAAAAAATATGACAAATATATTTAAAAAACATACATTTTTGGTTAAAGTTTTTAAGTTTTTAACCATAATAAATAGATAAAAGGGGTTGGGGGAGGGGTTCATATATTTTAGGGTTAGAAACATTTGTTAAAATTCATTTTTTTTTCAGATTTCAAAAAAGTTCGTCGGATAGCTAAAGAGAAAATTTCACAAAATTAAAATGCACCAAGGTGTCATTTTTTTCCAGAGAGCATGGTGTTTTTTAAATGTGTTTTCCTGAAAATTAATAGGAGTCGAGATAGAACCCGCAGCGATATGTTTTTATTAATCTATTCTGTTTGTCTGAAAAGCTAAGCTGTAGCTTGAAAATTAAATAAATATAAAAAAATTAATGAGGCGTAAATCTTTGTCGCTTCTTAAAAATAACGATAAAAATATAAGATTTAATCACGGAATATTATTATATGTACATGCTTTGGGTTTATAATAAAATTAGGTTGGTTCAAGATTTAGAAATTGGCTTAATCACAATGTCTTTTATAAATTCATATCGGAATATTTCCACCAATAATTTTTGCTTCCTGATTAAATATTCATGAATTTGAGCACTTTATTTATTTTAATAACTATACTTTTTGTTTTCTTTTGAAAGAAAGAAAGTATTGATAACCGAAGGTCAAACACAATTTGAAAAAATAGATAATTCTTTTAACAAGTCAATATTAGTGTGTTATATAAATTTTATTTCGTGTTTAAAAATTTTATAATTTTCATCATTTTGAAAAAAGGTTTAATTATCTGGAATTTAAAGAAATCAAGAAACAAAGGAAAAAAAACACGCTTAAAATGGTTTGAAAGTAAAATCCTCATAATAGGTATAATCGTCATAGTATAGTGAACCTTAGTATAATATTCGTTATAAATTAAAAAAATCAAGCGAGCTCACTATAGCGAGGTTTTCCTATATTTTTGATTGGGGAAAAGCTTGATCTTACTGTTTAAAAAATAATTTTAATACAATAATATAACATTTTAAATAAAAAATTATAAAGGAAAGTCCGACAACTTCTCTAGACAGTGGCGTTACCCCTGAAATATATTCTTCCGATCCAATGAATTTCGAAAACGATTCGGCGAAATATTCGTCTTATATTGAACCATATTTACCGTATACCAAGGATGGTTTAAAAAAAATATTTGTAAATTTTCTTTAAAAAACGCTCACATTAGATTGATAAAAGTTACTAGCTCTTTAAGACCCGCTAAAAGATCAAATATTTTGATTATTGTAGGGCGTCATGTCATCAAAACTAATAATAATTTTATTTTAAAACGCAAATATGATATTTATTTTTATCTTGATAATTAATGTATGATTTAAAAACTTATTAGTTACAAATATTTTTACAATACTTTATATTTAACACTGGAGAAAGAAAGAATTCTTTCAAACTTGTGGATTTTACCATATTTTTATATTATATATTTTTCTCTATAAATTAAAATTTTTATCGACGAAAGATCTTGAGAGTTTTATGTTCGATCGGTTGAATCAAGCAAACAGCCAATTAACATCTTGCATCGAGGACCAATCGGAATGCTTGATTAGTGAGTTAGCCATACGTGATGAACTGGAATACGAGAAGGAACTCAAGAATGGGTTTATCTCTCTTTTGATGAATATTCAGGACAAAAAACGCGCCTTTATAGCTCACGGTAAGATCAACAAACCTCTTCCTATCAATTCCCCAATGTCACTCATTAACAAATTACAGAATCTAGTCACACTTAAACAGTTTAATCACCGCGAGTTTTCAAACAATAGTGTTGATCATTGTAACGTTAACAATGATAGCCATGGGCTTGACTTGGGTATTATGAAAGTGGGTATAACTTTCAAAAATGGCGATTTGGTGTACTCCTCGGAAGATTATTCAAAGAGTTCTGTATCTAGCTTCTCTAGCAAAGATAAAAACGAGACCCCACAAAATGTCAATTTGGATGATAATCTTATTATATTCGGGGACGAAAAAAAAAGCCTAGAACCTGCGACTGACGCTACAATCGGGGAATTAAAACCAGTGCATGATAACTTTAACGATCATATTAGTAGACAAGATATTAATGTTGACTTCGCCTCTAAAGTCAAGTGCGAGGCGACTGAATTTAACGGCGAGGATGCGCAAGAAGAAAAAACAAATCAGATCTACCGAGCAATGGGAGATGAAGATTCGAATTTTTTATCGGTTTTAGGAATCTCCCCTCACAGCCCTCCCAGCATCTCCCCGTCGCTTAGCTCCCCAATTTCTAACCAGTTCAAAACACTGCCATCAAGCAACACTCATTGCAATCTAAAGGATCTCGCAAAAAGAGATCTGTCCGTGCAATCCTCCTTTTCCTTCAATAGCTTCGCGAATTCTTATAGCAACGGTTCGGATTCTGGTAGCTGTTCATCTTCGTTTTCTTCCTTCCTGCCACTTCCTACATCGTCGTTGTATACTTCTCCCTCTCTCGTTTTAAAGCCATTCGAAAATGTTAGGCAACATTATAACGTTTCACATTCGTTCAACAATAAGGGAAAGGTTATATTAGAGTTTTTTTTAACTTTTAGATTTTCTATCTTAATTACTATAATTGTAATTCTTGTGCAATTGAGTATGTATAAAGAGTTTTAATGTTAATTTATACGAATGATTGGGAAATTCAATGAAAAACTCACACTTATTAGGCTCAGTCAGTAGTGAAGGCATAGGATGTTATCAGATTTTACACTCACCACTGAAAATATATTAGAGGAGTAATGGCTATAAACCCATTAAAATATAGATATCATTTAGATGTTTGGAGAGGGGGAGTGAATCCTCCACCAGAATGTTTGACTCTGGTCTCTTAGTTATTTCATACTTAAACGTCATCCTATTTATTCAACCATTTTTCATGTCAATATTTACCAAAACCCATCTAATTTTCAGATATTTAAATTCATTTGGGTTTATCTTTTATATCAATCATAATATTAATAATAATAAAATCCCTTCATTAAAAAAACATAAATATATCAAGTTTCTAACAACTATCATTCCATATAACTTTGAGATGGGTCCACCGAATACACCAATTTTGCGAATTCTAATCAAAAGTATGTATAGTATTAATTGTATTTAAATATAATAACTGTAAAGTAGTTATTACATCGTTATATAGGCGTTACATAAAATATGTTACACTACATTAAATATGTCACATAAAATATGCTTAACAAGGAATCTATATCGCTATAACGTATATTTATTCTTTTCTTTTTATTATTTATACTCACTTTTTCTATTCCTTTTCAACTTATTTTTAAAAAAAGTTTGATAAAATTTGCCTACATTATGTGAACCGACCAAGCACCTGTGTTAATAAAATGATTTAGTTTAGTAATAAATAGTTTATGACAAGCCAATTGATTTCAATATAAATCGATCTCGTTATTTTATCATTTTAAGCTTGCTCAAAGGAAAAACATTGCTTGAATAGCAAATATTTTAGACGTCCTCATTATTAAAACTGAACAATATAAGATTATTTTTTCATATTCTTTATCAAAAATATTCCTTTTCATTTATTTAAAATATTCTAAATAGTTTTACTTAATTATTATACTAATTTAATAATTAAAATAAAGTTTTAAATGCTATCAATGAGGACAACGATCAAGTTCCCGGCTTGCTAACTGATTACATATTAAAAGGTTTAAATTTATTATATTTATAATAATCGTTTTTTTAATATAAAATTTTATAAATTTGAACCCCCTTTACAATGTGAGTAGCCGTTCAATTTTAACTAGTTTTGGAATGGCTAATTTTTATATTATTGGCAAAGGCTTTTACTATAATTTCCCTTTTAAAGGGTTTTCAAATATCGTTTTGCTACTTAATAATTAATGTTAAAAATCATATTCTAGTTTTGAAAAAAAAATATAATATATGAACGAAAAGTGATTTGCCCCACGGATTAACCAGGACTAAACTCAACTTTCAACGTATCCAATCATAATTTTTTTTATTTTTAATTTAACATAATTTATCACCACGCACTAATACGTATTATGCTCACTTTAGCTTTATAAAAATCAATTTTTTAAAAAAAAAATTTTACATTTTTTTTTATAATAATTAAAAAAATGCAAAATTATAATATATTTTTTTACAAATGTGATAATTATTACCATCACCTTGCTTATAATCAAATCAAAATGGACAATTTAAACCGTTTTTTTAAATATATTAAAATATATTAGAAATTAAAGAAGTTTTAATTATAAATGATGATTTTTGTTTGTGTTGATTCAATCTAATAATATTATAAATCAATATTATTATTTTTTTCCAATTAAGGCTATATAATATAGAATTTTATCTCGTTTAAATTATTATTTTAAACGACGTAAAATATATTCATTCAAAACTTGTAAAATATCAATTTTAAGACTTTTTTTGCACTTTTAAAATGATACTCTAATTTTGAAACCATATTTTACGATGTAAAAAATGATGTGGTATACTCCGTTTATAACATTCCCACTTTATTACGCTTTTCCTCTTTACGCGTTTGATTTTGGACTGCCAATTTTTAATATTTAACTCCTTCATTTATAACTTTGTGTTATGATTGCCCGTCAAATCGTATAATATTAGCTATTGATGCATTAATTTTATGAATCTTTTTTTAAATAATGAAAATATGTATTATATAATATCCCAAAAAATATTTAATTTTTGATCAAGAGTCTTTTATAAATTTAATTTTTTCATTTGCCCCAATTTAATAATTCAGGCTTCAAAAAATCACATATTAATATTAAAGTCTACTACTTAGTCATCATTTTATATAATTATTTTTTTTTTTAAATCAATATTAATGATAATAAATCAGTGCAATTATTTTCTAAAATATTCATATTATACACATTTATTCACAATAATATTCATTTGAAATTTGTTGGGGATAAAATTTATAATTTTCAAAAAAAATAATTATAAAAATATAAAACGTATTATAGTTAATGCTTTTGAAGCTTTATTTTTCAACTATGTGGAATTCGTAATAAATTTTTTTTAAACATGTTTGTAGTTATGATAATTTTAAAATATACATTGAAACCCGGGACCCGAACCTTCATATAAAAAATGCTAATAACAATATTCGATTTAGAGATAAAATTTCTTGGGAAATAACGGAAAAATAGGGCGAAAACAAGCAAAATAAAAAAAAATTATGAAAAATTCTTGCAAATATAAGATTTATTTATGATGTTACAAATAAGAAGGCAATAATTTAATAAATCTATTTTATTTGTTAAAAATATTATATTTTATATAAAAATTGATAAAACAATATAAATTCATTCGATATCAATATCATAAGTGAAATAATATCATTTTCACTTAATATAATTAAAAATTAAAATTAAATTAATTTATCTATCATTGGGAGGCCTATATTTATAAAAATTTACCGCACACTTTGACATGTGCTGCCATTTTGGTTGAATTCGGGAATGTCAATATTTATATATTGCTATTAGTGATCTGCATCGGGCCTAATTTTTTAAGTCCGGCCCGGTCCGAAATTTTTTTATTGCCGACCCGAACCCGAAATATTTTTTAAAAAGTTTTGCCGGCCCAGCCCGAACCCGAAATTTTTTTAAAAAAAATTTATCTAGCCACCCCGATTTTATTTAAATATAGAAATTAATTTTTATAATTACTCAAAATAAATGATATATGTTATATGGCATCTAATTTCTATAAATAAAATTAAATATTTTTATTTTACATTATTCTACATAAAATTAATTAATTTAGATATATTAAAAGAAATTTCCAAAGCCCGACCCTTCCCGGCTCGAATTTTTTAAAAAAATATTAGGCCTGGCCCAGCCCGAACCCGATTTCTTTTTTAAAAAATAGGCCCGAACCCGGCCCGAGTCTACTTTTGCAGATCTCTAATTGCTATACCTTTTATAATGGTAATTTCCTTTAAGAAATGCATCTATCCGTTTCTATTACTAATAATATTTAAGTGAAATCTACTATGCAAATCTTAATTAAGTAAATTTTCAAAATGGTCTAATTATACATCAAGGATGTTTTGATAAATAAAATTAGCTTATAATATTTAAATTTCCTTTATTAGAAAATCAGGTTAAATCATGTGATAAATATGAGACATTGTAGTATGTACAGAGTTTACCAGATTCTATCATTGATTGCATATTAAAATATGAGGAATTCCCTAGGGGAAAATTGCGATTCCCCAAGAAAACAAATTTATATCCAAAAACGATCGGGAATTGATAATGCAATGTTCGTATTCTATTCGTACGAATAATAAAATTTACTATTTGCATTCGATTCGATTATTTCTTTTTTAAAAATTTTATGAAATAATTAATACAAAAATTTATTGACATAATTTTTTTTATTGCACGCCTATTTTAAGAGAAATATAATAATTTGATAATAAAGGAAGGTATTAACAAAATTAAAATGCATATTAATTTAATTTATATGCTAAGGCAAAATGTTTTCCATATTGTTTCTTTATAAGACATGAGATTATGCCAATTTTTAAGGCAAAGATTTTTACTCATTGTTTCTTCTTTATAAGACATGAGATTATGACAGGAGGAGTCGTAGAATATTTTATTGGAATGATCCATCACCATTAAAAATAATATAAGAATCACACAATATAATAAATATTAAAATTAGGTAAATTTTTTAGGTACTTAATATTATAAAAAGAAAATTTTGAAGATGATTTAAACAAAGATAAAACTGGTTGTAAAATAAATGATTAAAAAATATTTGAAACAATTTATTGCAGAGGTCAAAATTTGAAGCCATATGGGAATATAGCTGTAGGCATGGATGCTCATGTTTTTCTTAGGCCTCTTGCAATTTATTTTAGTATTTTTCAGCTAATATTATCTTTAGGGATGTAATATTATGGAAAAAAAATAATAGCATAAATTTAGGATTAGAAAACCGTCACTATGAGAATTGGGCAGGTAAACTGAGAATGGACAGGTAAAATTTATTTTATTATATTTTCAAAAAATAAAAAAATGTTTTTATTGCATAAATCAAATTTATTTAAATAAATAAAATAGAATAGAATATAGAAGAAAATGTAGTCAATAAATTTGTAATATGTATAAAACAGATATATTACATAGAAAATATAACAGCCATAATAAATTTTTTAAATCATAAATATATTTCCGTTAGATGGTGTAATAGATAGTTTCTAATCAAAAATATGAATTATAGGAGCATAATTTTTTGCTCTTGATTAATTTATTTGGTACAAACTTATATATTCATAAAATGAAAAAAAATTTAAGTTTCCATCACTACTGGAGTTATGATGTCAATTCTCAGTTTAGTCATTTTTTTTAGATTTTTAGGATTTTAAAAATATTTTATTTTTTTGACTTATTTTGTGTAAACTAACTTATAAAAATACTAAATGAAAAATATTTTAAGTTTTCATCACTATTTTTGGAGTTATGATGTCAATTCTCAGTTTAGTCATTTTTTTAAAGATTTTTGGGATTTAAAAAATATTTTATTTTTTTGACTCATTTTGTGTAAACTAACTTATATAAATACTAAATGAATAATATTTTAAGTTTCCATCACTATTTTTGGAGTTATGATGTCAATTCTCAGTTTAGTCATTTTTTTTAGATTTTTGGCTAAAAAATATTTTATTTTTTTGACTTATTTTGTGTAAACTAACTTATATAAATAATAAATGAAAAATATTTTAAGTTTCCATTACTATTTTTGGAATTATGATATCAATTCTCACTTTAGTCATTTTTTTTAGATTTTTGGGATTTAAAAAATATTTTATTTTTTAGACTTATTTTGTGTAAACTAACTTATAAAAATACTAAATGAAAAATATTTTAAGTTTCCATCACTATTTTTGGAGTTATGATGTCAATTCTCAGTTTAGTCATTTTTTTTTAGATTTTTGGGATCTAAAAAATATTTTATTTTTTTGACTCATATTGTGTAAACTAACTTTATATAAATACTAAATGAAAAATATTTTAAGTTTCCATCACTATTTTTGGAATTATGATGTCAATTCTCAGTTTAGTCATATTTTTAAAGATTTTTGGGATTTAAAAAATATTTTATTTTTTTGACTCATATTGTGTAAACTAACTTATATAAATAATAAATGAAAAGTATTTTAAGTTTCCATCACTATTTTTGGAATTATGATGTCAATTCTCAGTTTAATCATTTTTTTTAGATTTTTGATTTAAATAATATTTTATTTTTCAGACTTATTTTGTGTAAACTAACTTATATATATAAATACAATGAAAAATATTTTAAGTTTCCATCACTATTTTTGGAGTTATGATATCAATTTCCAATTTAGTCATTTTTTTAAAGATTTTTGGGATCTAAAAAATATTTTATTTTTAAATACTAAATGAAAAATATTTTAAGGTACATTTTTAAAGATTTTTGGGATTTAAAAAATATTTTATTTTTTTGACTCAATTTGTATAAACTAACTTATATAAACATAATATGAAAAAATTTAAAGCATCACTAATTTTAGAGTTATGATGTAAATTCTAAGTTTAGTCATTTTTTTAAAGATTTTTGGGATTTAAAAATATTTTATTTTATTGACTCATTTTGTGTAAACTAATTTATATAAACATAATATGAAAAAATTTAAAGTTTCCATCACTATTTTTGGAGTTATGATGTCAATTCTCAGTTTATTCATATTTTTAAAGATTTTTGGGATTTAAAAAATATTTTATTTTTTTGACTCATTTTGTGTAAAATAACTTATATAAACATTGAATGAAAAAAAATTTGAAGTTTCCATCACTATTTTTGGCATTCTCAGTTTAGTCATTTTTTTTAAGATTTTTGGATTTAAAAATGTTTTATTTTTTTGATTCATTTTGTGTAAACTAATATACATAAAATGAAATAAATTTTTCTTGCAGTTATGATGTCAAATCTCAGTTTAGTTATATTTTTATTTGAAAAGACCCGGATCCGGGTTCGGGGAACATAAAAATAATGATTCAAAATAAGATTATTTTTTTCATTAATTTATTTATTATACTTCAATATATACATATTCACTACAAATGAAAAATTTAAAAATGTAATAATTTATATTTTAAATATTTTATTCAATCGCACAATCATAATATCTTCT